TAAACATAGACACTTCCTGAGGAATCTGATTCCCAACAGCTGCAAACATGTTGGTTGTATATACACGCAAAATATTCCCATTTTTACATTAATTCATTTTGATTACTCTCCATGATCAGAATATTGTTTCTTATTAAGAGATTTATTTAATACGCAAGTATGTACTAAAACTAAGCAGTTACGAAAGACCTATTCTGGTACATGTTCATTAAAACTAGATATAAATAACAAAAGCAGAATAAGATTTTCAATTGTAAGTACAATATTCCATTCTGACGTCCCATGTCTTCAAGGGTATTACTACGGAATATAAAAAATTACTAATATATATTTTTAAACCACACAGATGGTGAATATATAACTTGGAATAATGCATTATAGAACTGATGGACTGTTCTACATTTTAATATAATTTTTTTGTTTGAGAATTATAATATCAAGTTATAGTAGATCAGGTGACTCAGTTTGTTCTGTGTATTTCACCATAATCTCAATAAAAAGTGATGAAAGTACATAGCAAACAGAACACTGACAGGCCACTTTATTAGGACTTATCACCTTCCACACACAATTGTAGCACACTCCGCAGACTGTGAACAGTGAATGACAGGAAGCCTACGCTTTTGTCTGGCGAATCGTGTTTCATCTTTTCCACCACCAACTGTAAAAATATAGACAAAATCACGTCGGACACTTGACCCGTCTTATATTGTTTGGACACAGGGGACACTTGACCAGTCTTATATTGTTTCGACGTTAAAGAGCCAATCGCGACTCAATGAATAGCGTGGTTGAGTATGGAGCTGAAACTCCGTGGATCAGGTCCTATTAACGCCAAACAAGAAATAAAAATATAGCAATCGGTATCCTATAGCAGTGGTTGCGTTATAAAAGTGACGTCAAATCCCACTATTAGTTCCGAAAAAAATAGACAATGGTTGGCAGTGTGTGAGGTTAATGTTGAATAGCTAGATGCCTTCCTCCTAGTCTATCACCTCAAAATTAGGGACGACAAGTCCAGATAACCCAACCGCAGCTTAGCGCGAAATCCAACAACGAAACAAACCAACGCTGCTGAAGCTAGTGTAACGGTGTGAGGAAGACTCTTGTGGCAGGAGTTGGGCCCATAGATAAATTCAAAAGAGCGAATACATCCGCATGTACCCGCACTATGTTGCGGATAAATATCCATTCCACAATGCTAAATATCTACCTTGAGTAAATAGGACTTTTTCAAAACGATAATACAAGATTGCTTGAAATCGGCTAGAAAAACACAATCACTGGCTCTCAATTCGACTGAACATATTTAGGATACATGTCACAGTTAGTGACATCTGTGAACCAATTGTAGACCATATTCCTTTGCGAATGTAAAGTCTATGCTACAACAGGCAGTTACTGCGGGTAAATTTGGACCAACTCAGTATTAGATGTGAAATCTAATAATACTGAGTTACATGACGTGCAAAACAACATCTGGAAAGTCAATCAGTCATTTGCCTTTTCACCAGCTTTGCCCATCACAAGATAACCGTAATCCAAATAAGACACAATCTCTAATTTGAAAATCTAGCCTTCAAGTACCATTTAATTAAACTAATTGCAATAGATAAGTTATCATTATTTAAATACGAGAGTGAAGATTTAACAAACTAACTTAAATAACTTTGGATCTAACTATTCCACTAAAGTTTCTTGCAGAATGAAACAAGGTAACACTGATTAAAGCGTCACAATAAAAAATCTCTGAAATCTTTTAAGACTCACTCGTAGACTTGATGTGGGGAGAACAGCCATATTAGTTATCAACGTTAAACATCTTATACTTCTGCAAACAGAAGTTTTAGTGGTGTTACTGCAGTTTATTACTTAAAATAATAAGTAACAATTAGGCAATGGATAAACAATATATAGTTTTGAATATAGAATTTATTACATTTTATATATTATAATGATACTGATAACAAGCGATAATTTTGCTTTAAAGTACCTACTGATATTCGCCAAAATAAAACGTGTGAGCAATTAACGTAATCAGTCTGTTTGTTTGTTCTGAATTTCGCGCTAGCCGTCCCTAATTTAGCAGTGTAAGAAGGTAGCTGGTCATCACCACCCACCGCCAACTCTTTTTACCAACGAATCACTATTGACCGTCACTTTATAACGCCCCCACGGCTGAAAGAGCGAGCATGTTTAGTGGGACGGGGATTCGAACCCGCGACCCACAGATTGCGAGTCGAGTGCCCTAACCACCTAGCCATGCCGGGCCTAACGTAATCATAGCAATTGAGTTGCTGATTTCTGTTTGAATATTTTTTTAACGTAAAAATCGTCTTCTGGAAATAAGTAAACAAATTTATCAGCGCATGTTTAAGAAATGTACATATTTTAGAGTTCAATGTAAAACAAAATCATTGTCGCTGGTTGCCGTTTGTATTCTGCGTTACAGTTATACCACTAAAACACTTATGTCAGGAATATCTAATAAAAAGAAAATGTCAAGATCACGAAGCTGTTTTACTGGTGTTAATTAACAATTTAAGATCACGTTCAGTAAAGTTCAGCATAAAGTTGAAGAGTTACCTACCGATATATGGTAAACAAGTAAAAAAAAAAACCTAAACAGAATCCTTAAATCTGCCAAACTGAGTTACCACGAAATATTTGCTTCTGAGTATTCAACACCTGCATAAATTAGTTACAAATAAAAAAACCGTTCTTATTTGTAGAGTTGTATAAATTTGAATTCTTAGGTAATAGAATTTAACTACTTTTTGTTTTATTGTATCATAATAAAATGTTATCTGTTGAATTGTATTTTTTAAGGAGACGGCAACGCAACTCTTAAAGTATTCAAACAATTCGATTACCTCATAAAAAAAGCTAAATTATGTACTATCTTACCAGTGTCTAAAAAAACAAAAACAATTGTTTTCATTTAAGGGAAGACAATTTTCGCTTCCAGTATATAACCAAGGTTACACGTAGCTGGACGTTTAGTCATAGGATGGAGAAACAGTAAAACATCCGTTTTTCTTGGATACTTTCGAGATACGTAGCCAACAGGCTTATTAGGCTCATTGGAATGCTATGTAATACAGGAAATAGTTTCTGAGAATACTCCGAGCGATCTATGCACAAAACTGGAGTGGAAAGTTTGAAACGGATACTGCATGGTTAGTGGTTGTTTCCCAACCCTTTATCCTTCAGTAATTTACCACAGAAAGGAAGCAACACGGGACACGTTTTAGGTAATCTTATACCAAACCTAAGAAGCTGAAGTGTTAGTCGCTATACAAACAATTTAGAAACATACAACTAAATCTATTATATGGATGTCCAGCTTCTGAATGTAAATATGTTTATGAACATGACGATGACGAACCCAAGAATCTAAACTACAAGTTCAACACAAGTATCTAAGGAGATTATATCATTTTGAAAGGCCTGGAATGGTCTGGTGGTTAGGGCGTTGGACTGGCAATCTGCAGGTCGTGTGTTCAAATACCGTCACCGAATATGTCACCCTTTCAGTAGTGGGGACGTTAGAATGTGACGGTCAATCTAGCTTTTCGTTACTAAAGAGTAGCCCAAGAGTTGTCGATAAATAAATAACAAGTAAAACTTTACTAAATCGTGTGAAATATGGATATAGCCGAGTATAAAAAAATACACACACAAAATATTTCTAGAACCTTATGCTTCGTTTTATTGATTTCTTATGTTTCTTTCAATCACCATCTGCCTATACAGTTATTATCGATTTGGGTGATATAAGATTCCGTTAGTGACAAACAGAGTTTTCATTTGTGTTATTAAATTTCACACTTCAATGAGAAACAATGCATACACAGAACAGAATCTAAAAGGCTGGCCTTAAGATGCAGCATAGACGGGAAAGTTCAGAACATAGCACGAATATGATACACTGGGAAAGTTCAGAACATAGCACGAATATGATACACTTTTGTTATGAATGTCAGCAGTGCTACCTTTAGTTGCAGACATTCAGATTCGTAAAAAAAAAAAACATTAACAAACCCTTTTATTTTGCATAACTAATCGTACAGTAGAAGTGTAGTGAAAATAGGGCGAATAATGCTATTCGTGAATGAACGATGTGTATCAGTAGTAGTAAATTATCTATTGAGATACGCAGTTAAGTTACTGTGAATGAAAGATTTTTGTATTTAACATGTTTGTGGGCTTCAGCGGTAGGGAACACCAGGGCTGGTTGAAGAACTTTTTTAAAGTTTTTAAATAAAAGTCATCTGTGAACTTCAAGGTAAGAAACTTCGATACCAACATAAACTAGACACCTTCCTCTATTATATAGTAAAACCAAATCACTTACCTCTTTGCCATTGTTATCAGAAATTAATAAAATAGAAGAGTGCGCAGTGTGTATCAACCTACCCCGAGCTTGCTACATGCTATGGGATAAGTTGACACGGATGATACTTTATTTATATCAATATATTTATTGCACATTTAACAAAATCAAATAAAAAAGACACTTTAACTGTTTCTCACAATAATATCTACAAACACAGTTTAAAATTCAAAGTTTAGGCAAAATATTACAATGAGGAATCTGCAAAAAATTTACTTAAATTTCATTAGTTTTTATTTAAGTTTAACATTTGGACATCAATTAAAATTATCAAAATGTATTTAAATATTTTTGTATTATATCTATTTTTGTTTTAAGACAAAATATATATGTAAATTCCTTAATGTGGGGCTGGTTGGCACGCATGTCAATCTGCCCCAAGCGAAATGTGTCAACTTGCCCCAAACCGACATTTTGCTAAAAATGACTTTTGTGTGTCATCCCAGTAATAGTTATCATACAAAATTATGTATCATTATATAGCCAAATAAAATGCACATTCAAATACCATATAACTTAAATTCTCTTAACAGAGTGTTTAATATAACATAAAATCTTTGCAATAGAAAATATTTACTTACGTTTTTGAAAATATCTATTCCAGCACATGACAGAAAATTCCGATCACGATGAAACTACAATAGCGTGTTTGGATGTGCTAGTAATCATGATATCACGGCTATCAATTTCAGCATATAAAAGTTATCGGCATTGTGTCAACCTGCTCCTGTGGCCAACCAGCCTCGGTCTCACCTCCACAGATGAAATCGTACACCTACTGGTTGACTATCTAAAATAAAACAAACCTAAAAGTTCTAATATAGCTAGATGTGTCTCTAGATTAAAGAGAACTTTCTATCACATCATAAATCATCTGTTTTACCAACCTTTAACCTGACGTTGTAGTGCATATAATACACCTGAGTAGCATAATAATAAAAAAAAAAAAAACATTCTGTAATAACTTCGTGGACTAAACTATTTGTTTATAACCAGGATGTAGACTGAACGGCACATTGTAAATATATTTCAAGAGTAGTTTTGTTGGAGACAAAAGGAATATTTGGTTTATCTATTGTTCG